CTGGATGAATAATATGGATGTCTGCGGGGCCCTTTTGCTTTAGTGAAGTCTGCTGTTTCTTCATTGGTTTTCTGTAGAATACAACATTGTTGAAAGTGAGGTTTTATAGTTCCAAGTTCTTACTATATTAGACTCCATCATTCCCGTTAAGTTTAGTAATATTTGCTTTACAAAAGTAAGTACTCTGATATTGGATGCATTTATATTTCAGCTCATTATTTCCTTTTTCTGAAAACTGTAGACTTTTTTTTTTTTTGACCAAGAACTCAGGACCTTGCACTTGTCAGGCAGATGCTGTGCTGCAGAGCCATATCCCCAGCCACTGGGCCCTCTCATTATGTAATACTGTAGATCGTTGTTATGTAATGCTCTCCCTTGTCTTTCTTGCTGCCTTTGATTTGAAGCCCATTTTATCTTATGTAAATATAGCTACTCCTGCTTCCTGTTGGATTCCATTTACGTGAAATATCTTATCCTGTCTCTCACTTTCAGTCTGTGCAAGTCCCGAGAGATGAAGTATTATTTTAAGCAACATATTGTTTTATCTTTAAAAAACAATACATTTGAAAAACTAGGGAGGCAGTTTTAAACAAGATTTATTTAAAGCAGTAGTTCCTGACTTTGTCTAAAACCACATTCCACATTCAACCTTGTGAAAGTAGAACACTAGTCTAACCCAGTTCAAAAAAAGGATCTTATCCTTACCTATTTGATTTGCAAAATGTCAACCTGATTCTTTATTTTTGTGTACCCTACCACCAGCCTGTCAGATCTAAATTCAGAAAATATCATGAATTCTTCCACTTCTTTCTATACCCATGAATGACCTTTAAATCCAATCTGCCATCAGCTTTATCCAGAAGAGTTTAAACCCGAGGTTTTTGCTGATACTCTTGTGTCTGTACAATCCAACAAAATTAAGTTTTAAAATACAAATTATGCCACTCTCCTCCATTGGAATCCTCTCATTTCTATACCTCTTCCTAGGTCATGTGACTGATAGGGCCTTGTAAATCATGGCTTCTGCATAGCCAGACAAGCTCATCTTCTCTTGGGTTCCCCTTTTTGTGACTTCCAGAGGCCCAGCTTCCTCTCTTCCAGAACATGAAAAGCTTTCTTAACCTCAGAGTTCTGCTCTTGCATGGAGGTTTCCCCAGTCTTTGGTCTTTAACATGCCAACTCCTAGTGATTCAGGCTCAGCTGTAGTAGTCTGTCTTCTGCTAGTGGAGCCTTTACCTAATACACTGCTCTCTTTATTAAATTGGCTTCACAACACCTCTTTCTGAAACTCTGCTTTATCCATTTGTTTACTTGCTTATCATCTGCCTACCAATAGCCACCCAGACTCGTAAGTGTAGATCCCAGTCACATCATTGTTATAGTTCCTCAGTGTCTAGAAGACAAAGACGAGTCCCATGCTCCATGCTCTGTGAATCTGATTAGCATTTTATGAGATTCTTGGTGGATTAGAGTGTTTATACTCTTATCATATCTGGTTCCTGTTTCTTAGATATAACACCAAGAACAAGGAACAATAGCATTGAAGTCTTTTTTTTTTTTTTTTTTTTTTAATTGATGGGTTTGCAGTGCTCATGGAGATCTCTCCTAGAAATGTGGGGAGTCAGCTGACCTCATAGGGCTCACACTGGGTGAGGAGGGACTCTGACTGTCTCTGTTGCCCAGCTTAGTGACACCAACTGACATGCCCAACTTGTACTCAGGGCTTATGGAGAAATGGCTCCCTCAATGCTTGGCCCCTCAGTTAGACAGTAAATAAAAAATGAAAAGTCATTCCTTCACTTCCTGGACAACCTAGATGAGTGATTATTAAAAAAAGAAAATAGATAAAGAACATGAAAAATGGTTTTTATTCTTAAATATCTCAGTATTCCTGAATGATAATGCCTATATACTACTTGTAAATGCTTGTATCGTTAAGTTAGAATTTCATTTTCACTCCTCAAAATTTTCCTGTTATGCATTTTTCCCATTCAGTAAGATGACATCTCCTGAAATAAGTGGGGGCTGATGTCCTTAAAAAGAATACAATAAATAATGATTCTTTCAAGTTGTAATGCAAAAATGCAAAAAAAAAAAAAAAAAAAAACAACTTACATTGACACTAAAGAAATCTTGTTGTGTATGTAGAATTTCCCTCCTTTTTCTGACTTCTTAAGTTTCTGGTTTTATGTTAACTTGTTTTTAGCACATCTGGGACTATGTATTGAATTTTTATATTACATTTTATCCTGAGGTTTTTTTGTCTTCTCTTGTTATACCGAATTAGTTACTTTGTCAGGGCAATTCTTGCATAACAGTGTTGAATGTTTAATAAAAACACTTTCCAGTTCTTGGTATAAAATTCAACGGCCAAAACATTCATTTGATGCATCTCAGTGTCACTTACTTCTTTTTTGTGAATGGCTTTGTAAACAAAAGCATTCACTTCTCATATCATGTTTTGATTTTTGATTATGTTTAACCTCGAATTATCTCTCAGATTTCGAACAGCAACTCAATTTTGAATTTCAGATAAAGCATAGGATATGTATATTGTCAAAAGGACTGAGAGGCTATTTTTATGAATGTGTGAATTTAAAGTCTTGAAATCATTTTGTTATTGTCACATGGTTTTGTTTTGTTTTTAACTAATGTGGAAGCAAAGCCATCTTTCAGAAAAATCTAAAGAAACAAACAAATCTCTTTTACAGAAAGATATTCTCATGTGGCCTAATCTAATTTTTTTAGCAAGATCTTTCTTGTTCTTTATAGAAATGAGGTGCCCTGCTAACATATCATCTCCAAAATGTTCACATTTGACTTGCTATTTCTAGGTGCCATCTTTGCTGCAGACTTAACCTCCTTTGTTTGCATATATAACTGCTGCAATCAAAATGAAATCCAAAAGTTACTTCAACTCAGAATATTTAAGGGCATCGCATGTTTCTTTTAGTAACTTACATTAATTAGGCTGGCATCCCTGAACTCCTCTGCTTTTTCTATTTTGTAACTACGTTAGTAATGTGTAAACCTGTACATTCTTTTGCCAAGTAGATTGCAAAATGTAAGTCATAAATCATATTTCTTATAAACTCTTTTCTAATTGCTTAGAATGCTGATGGTTCATAATGAAGGCTCAATAAGTATTATCTTTGAAAAGCAAAATTCTGAAATGAAAAATGCACTCACATTTAAAGTCAAAATAGAGTGTGAATGGGTAATTTAAAGTGTTCTATTGATTCACTAGAATTTTGACTTTTGGCTGGAATTATTTTACAGCTAATAATATACTTTTAATAAAGTGAGAAATTAACATTACATGAACAGATTAGTTACACTGGCATTTTGTGGTCTCTTTAACCATACAAAGTATTTATTAAGTGTAGCTAGATACCTATTAAACACTTCTTTTTAATAGCTACATGTAAGGCTGAAATTAGGTTGAAAGTACTTACTTATATTCTGCCAGGCTTTTTCATGTGTTGTGATGGGTTTTCACAGTGACAACAGCTTGTATCAAATTTTGGATTTATACTGAATTCTCTTTTACCTGTGATCAAAGTGACCAAGAAACATGGAATGATATTGGAAAATGTAAACAGCCATAGAAGAGTCAATTTCTATGCTACTTTGTGCATTTTAACATAGTAAATATTTTTGGTTGACTCTTTTGCTTAATTCTGTCTTGTGGCATTTGCCTTTGTCCTCTATTGGTGATTTTCCTTTGTCTTAAATTACCCAAATCTCACCATTCTAATGTAATTACTTCCTACACAGTTGTGGTTTGTCCTGTGAAAGCGAGAATACTTTATGTGTCATGTTAAGATGCTTTTGACATTGGCCTTTATTTACTTATTTGTATGTGTACTGGACTAAATTTTATGCTTTTGAAGTTGAGATTTACATACTTTATTTCTCTATCTCTCATTAACACCTATGAGTGTCTCATACCAACTCCTAGCAAACATTTCAATAAGTAAACAGATAAATGGATCTCAAACTCAGAGAGACAAGTCAAGTTCCAGAGTCCATATTAATAAATTCTAGTCATCAGATGGTTGATTTCTGGGAAACGCTTGGACCTCCTCTCTGACTCTTCCCTAAATTGTTCCTTCAGACGTTCCTCCCACTGTGCCTTCCTGTTGGCTTTCTAATCTCCCCCAAGACACTTCATTACTGCCTTTTTATGCAAGCTTCTCCCCCAATTCTTCCATACTACTTTTTCTAATTTGAGCTAGATCCTATCATAGCATCTCCTGTTTAAACCCTCCTAGTGACATGAGAATAACTGCCCAAATTCTCAACCCTGCTAACACAGTGCTACACAATGTGGCCTCTGCCTTTTTACCAACCTCTTCTGCCACCCCTCTACCCAGTTCTCCACACTCCATCCACATGGCCTTTGTCTAGATCCTACAAGTGCTCCTGTGTCCTCTTGCCAAGGCTCTTTGTGTACCCTTGTGCAGAGCAGAGTTCAGAAGGACTTCCTCATTATCTGCAAGGCTTGCCTGAAGGGTCAGTTTATCAAGGAAGACTCACAGTCCCTCTGAGCTCTTAACTCATGGTGTCCTGAAATTGTCCTTTGCAGCACACTATATAAACAATTCATTTTGCCTGTAATGCTTGTTTGTAGGTGTTCCTGCTCTGGAAAATGAGCTCTGTGATGCGTCGCTCAGTGTTTATTCTGTTTACTCTTCTGTGTCCTAATGCTCAGCTCAAAGCCTCCCATATATGTGTTTGAAAAAATAGGGGAATCAAGGTACATAGGAGAGAGATAGAGAAAAGGAAGAGAGAAGGGAGGGATGAAGGAAAGAAGGAGTGAGAAATAAGACAGCGGTAGTTTCAGAGCAGTAATGTCTTGTGCCAAAGCGTTCTTCCATGCCAACATGGAGAATTCTTTGACTGGCACGTGTCTTCAGGGCCCTCTACACTGCCTGCACGGTCTTCTCACTGGAACATCTGTTCACACCAGCTTGCTCTCTGTCTTTTTGCTTTGCTAGTTGATGGACAGTGGCAGGAGTGGAGTTCCTGGAGCCAGTGCTCAGTGACGTGCTCTAATGGGACCCAGCAGAGGAGCCGGCAGTGCACTGCAGCGGCCCACGGAGGCTCGGAGTGCCGCGGGCCCTGGGCAGAAAGCAGAGAGTGCTACAACCCGGAGTGCACAGGTACGGAGCTGCTGTAGTAGTGGAGGGGCCCGACGCACCAGACACACACAGTGACCAGAGGGTTGCATGTCAGATGTGATCAAAAACACGGCAAAGTTTTAAATTTTTAAAAATTTCTACGGTAAAAGACATATTGTCATTAACCCCCTTGTTACTTCCTCCTTTTGAAGACACTTATCCTATCCTTCTTGCCACTTTCTGAAGCCATTCTGAAAGTCTTGCTTCATGAGTATGTTTAGTTTTGCTATTGTGGCTACCTTGATATCCCAAATCCATGAAAAAATCACCTTTTGTGGACAATTGTGACATTGAGGAAAAGTCAGAAGATGAAGGGTACTGGGTCAGGTATACAGAGTGGATGAGGCCTCATCCTAAACCTTTTAGGATCCTCCTCCGGGTTGCCTGACACTCAGCCACAGAATTCCATATATATATATATAAAATAATACCTCAAAAACACACAAAAGAAGATTTCCAAAACTGCTTCAGAACGAGGAAAAGAATGGCGGGATAGGTATGTGGAAGCAGGAGAGAGGATTCTGAGAAGGGCTGGTGGTGATGTCTTACTGGAGACTTTGATCACACCATGTATTTTGTATGAACATAGTTGATTATTCTGCTCTATATCATAGTAATAAAGAGAATTCAGAAGACAGAAAGAATGCACAGTTAAATTCATGACATTTAGCACAGAACTTGCACTTTTTACAGGTAAGATTCAGTGATGTGTATTTGAAGACTCAGGCACAGGTATATAAGCACCTACTCATCACTCTGCCCTGCATCTGACCAGTAAGTCCAATGTTTGAGTAGTGTTTATTTCTAAAGGTTAACTGAGGAACAGTAAAGAAAGGTAGAGCTCTCAGACTGCAGTAGAAAGTGTGCCGTGGACAGGTACCACTGATGAGGACACGTTTCTTTCAGCCAATGGGCAGTGGAATCCATGGGGCCACTGGAGCGGATGTTCCAAGTCCTGTGACGGCGGCTGGGAAAGGCGGATGAGGACCTGTCAGGGGGCGGCGATCACCGGGCAGCAGTGCGAAGGGACAGGCGAGGAAGTCAGAAGGTGCAGTGAGCAGCGGTGCCCTGGTACGTGTGAGCGGAAATTATCCCCATGTAAATGCTTGTGACCCGAATAAATAGGATTCAAGATATCATTAGTAAGGGAAGGAGTCCTCAGTGAAAGGACTGCTGGTGATAACTGGACATCATTTAGCTTTCTAGAATTCATGGGATTTCCTCTCATGATTTGTGGTGAAATAGTTGCATAAGACTTAAGTTACTTGTTGCAAAAGGACAGCTCAGAAGAGTCTGAGCTCAGAAGCTCAGCTAAGACTGGGCTTGCTTTAAATTAGGTTATTTTTTCCTATTATTTTACAAAACATTTGCTTATTGAGAATACAACACTAATTGCCTTACACGGTATATATGAAAAATATAAAAATGTGTTAGATAGCTAAAAAAACAAAGGTATGATGTTGAAATTCAGACTCTTTTAAGTACTATTGTAAATTAATGTCTTCCTGATGACCTTGGATATCTTCATTAACTTGTCCTTGCTACAGTTTCCACTATACAGGGAAATTGCTATGAGGGACACATTTTACAATGAAAACATAATCTTTGTTACTAGTGAAAGAGTTAAAGTGCTGCTATATTAAAATTTTTATATGTAAGTATAGGAAAGAATATGGGGTCAGAATTGTGCAGACTATGGAGCAGATTATAGTACTTCTGAAGATCATTTAGAAGAACTTTTTCAAATAATATGTACATCCCATTAAATATTGACACACTGAGATCATAGGCAGTAAAAACCACAATTTTAAGATGACATGAGGGGAAACTGTTGCAGACTTACTGAAAAGGTGATGATAGTCAGACAGCAAGGGAGGGCTGATGTCAGAGAACCCAGCTGTCCAGGTACTCACCTGTCTGTGTGAGCTGCCTGCCTGCTCTGGCTAGGGAGGTGGTGGAGAGAGTAGATGATGCTAGCTGTAGCTTATTGGGATGCTCTTCAGCTCTGAAAGCAATGCATTTCTGTCTCTAACATGACAGCATCAATTTAGAATCCAGTGTATTGTAAGAGAGAGGCAAAGTCAAAACTTGGTATTTCCATGTAATTAAAATTCTAATCATTTTCCACAGCTCCAAATTAATCACACTAGCAGAAATAAGACTTTAAGAGTACCAATAACTAGCTTGAATTTAAGATCTAGAATTGTCTTGCTACCTCTTCAGGCCACATGAATTCAGAGTGATAAGAGGTGAACAGCAAGCAATATTGGATAAGGATACCTACGCAGATTAGCTCTGTGGAATTCTTCCTGTGCTGCCTAAGTAAGAAGAAGCATAAACAGAAATGCTCATTTTGCCCGGGGAGAAATTTCACTGGAACAAGGCAGCATGATTAAACAAGACCCTTTTAGGATGTGAAGTTATCTAAACTAGTCTTAGCATTAGCATACTGAGTCTCTTAACTTGTCTTTTAAGAACTGTCTTTCATTCACTAATATGGAGTTGGGATAGCTCTGCTGCAGTCAGATTTACAAAGATTGCCACCTGCTGTTTGGAAAACATTTTACAAAGCTGTTTATAAAAAAAGCTACTATACCTTATTTGCTAAGTTTATTTGCCGATTTTCATGATTTAAGGCAGGTTTAAAAATTGTCAATTAAATCTCAAGACACTTTTTATATAACACCATGTATTTTTCAATATTATCAACCTTTTCATTTTATGTTTGTCAATAATATGGTTTGAAAAGAAACAAATTGTTTACAAGTATGTAATTTCATAGTTAAAATTAAATCTTGAGTGAGTTTAATATTTTGTGAGCTATTGCTTATATAAAGGCAACTACTATATATATATATATATATATATATATACACACACATAAAAATATACATATATGCATATATCTCCAGTTTATCATATCTTAGTGTAATTCTAATGTAATATAAATTGCATCATCCACCAAAGTCTCTAATGACTTAATTTTTTTCAAAATGCTTCTACTTCAATAGAGTGTAAATTTTTTATCAAAATAAATAGCTTGTTTGTATTTATTTATTATATTTTTATATGCAGTCATATTATTTTATAAAGCAGCAGCATTTATAAATAACTGAGTTTTACACAGTGGAATTGATGGGTACACTGAGTCTCACCCTACATCATTTCTTCTTGAATTACTTGTGTACTGTTTCTAATTATAACCACTTTAAATTGTAACAACTTTCAATATTCCTTAACATTTACTGAGGTATTTTTCTCTTTGTCAATAACAAAGCCCCAACAAATGTTTCTTTTAGAAAATGAATTTTTCACATTATTTTTAGCCCTGTTCATTTTTAATGTTTTGTCAGATTTCTTCATACAGCAATTATTTATCTTTCTGCTTCACTTGATTTGAATACAAACAAATGAATCAAATTTGTCAAGAGACCTCCTGTTGTCAAAAAGAACAAATACATATACTTTGCACAAGTAATGAAAAATAATTAGTAATCATCAAGACTTAATAAAGGCTCTTCTTATGTCTACTCAAAGTGGAAAATAACAAGATTTGCCCATCAAAATTAGGATTGTCCTTTATGGGAAAATGGATAATATAAAAATATTAAAACAGTATTCTTTGTTTTTATAAAAGAATTGCACAGATGAAGGATTTATTCAGGAAAAATTCTGTTGGGAAATAAAATACCTACAGGGAAAATAATTATGTGTTCCAATTTTTAAACTGATCAAACTCACCAAGTAATGACTTCATTTATCTCGATGTCATTTCAAACTTTGAAGGTTAGAGGGTTAAAATGGCAGAATGGTGCTCTTCCTGGTTTTATGACTCAGCTATATTTTAAGCTTCTTTTTACCAATATTTGCCAAATTAATATTATTCAGAGAGCAAATGTTATTGCTGTGCTCATCTAAGTTGACTTTTGGCTTCTTGGGGACCTCCTTGATATTTCTAGAGGGAGGGCTGTCTTACTTTGTTTTTGGTTCAGTTTGTTTTAGTTTGGTTCAGATTGGTTTGCAGTCCTGGGGATTGAAGGTTCATTATTTTAGTCATTAATTATTTAGTTAGGATTTAAAGTTTGCAGCTCAATATGGTACTTAATTTGTAAATAAAAGTCGTTTTTTGGAATCAGATTTTTTAATATCTAAAAAGACTGCAGGTTGAGTGTTTCCAAGAAACTTTTATATCAAATATGTAGTAATTACTGGGATGTTTTTGTGTAAATATTTATACCAAAGGAAGGTAGCAGTTGTGCTGGTAATGTAACACATATCTTAAACATTGTAATATGCTTGTATTGAATTTGGCAGAGTGTAGTTGTCATGGTTACCTTTCTCTCATGGTTAGAACAAAATACCTGGCACCCAAAATGAAGAAAGGAAAAGTTTATTTATCTCAGAGTTTGTGGAGGTTTCAGTCCATAATCATCTGCCTCCACGCAGGGCTGCATAGCACCAGGGCAACGCTTCAAGGCAGCAGCCAGAGAAAAAGAAGGGAAAACCAGTCTCTTCTTTGCCTTTACATTATAAGCAGGCTACCTCCAATCCAGGGCCTGTGTAGCAATCACACCACCTTTGTGCCTTCCTCTTGCACAGGCTGAGGATATTTACATAGTAAAGATCCTGGCTCTCTGCTGAGTTTCTTAAATTCCTAAACTTCTCCAGTTGACACAGTGTATTAACCATAAGAATAGTACAGTGACATATTAAGGGTGAGTACCCATACCACACCCCTCAGTCTTCCAGTCTGTAAGTGGTTGTTCCCTTGTCTCTGTAAGGTTGTTTACTAATACAGTTTCTTCTTCTCTGGATACCTAAAGTTCATTTGTGAGTAACTTATATATATATATATATATATATATATATATATATATATATTTTTAGCTTAGCTTCACTCAGAAGAATCACTAACATTGCTTAATTTGTGTATCTTTTTAGAATATCTCCTCTCATTGTTACAAGCAGTGTGTACCTAGGTATCATTCTCAGAGCTTCTTGAAATAAATGCCTGAGCCAGGACCCGGTGATTCGGACTCAGTGGATATAGCTCCGGGCTAAGAACTTGTCTTCCTCTTAGCCTCCACATCATGGTAGCACCCCATTCACAAACCATTTCTTGGCTTATAGTTGTCTCTTATAGCAAAATAATGGCAGTAATAGCAATAATAATGCAGTAACATTAACAAAAAACAGAGTACAGCCCTCTACCTCTGCTCCAGTGGAGAGACTTGAGATATTTCCTCCACAAGTTAGCAAACTTTATTTTATTTATACTTTTCACAAACCACAAGGAATTGTTTCTGCAATCTGTTGATAGTGAAAACATGGTCCCTCCTATAAACTTAGGCAAGCAGGGGACATTTGGGGGACAGTGGTGTCAGAGAAGAGAGTGAGGTTTTAACCCATATTGGCTCATGTGCACCTCAGGTCTGCATTATTGGAGTGGTGAATTAATCACTCCAGTAGAGCTATTTTGTCTTTGGTAGAGACAAATGTAATAAATTTGATAAATTAGACACATTTACACTGTGTGCATCCCTGCATTTAAAGTTGAAAGGCAATCATTGTTAGAACTCCAATATAGTCGGTATAAAATGTGCATTTTTCTTATGTAAGGAGATAACTGCTGCTCTCCTTCAAAGTATTTGAGCACAAGCAGGCACCGATTTACCTTCTTTATCACTGAGCAGTTCACTCACATAGAATGATTAAAGTTCTTTTTCCAGTGGAATTGCTATTATTTTCCTCAACTAGATGATATGAATCTCAAAGAATCATGTTACTGTCAGGTGAGTGCTTTAAAGTTAAGCATTTGCACTGCGTAGTTTTGGACATTGCAAATTACATCACACTGTTCACACCAGTTGTTCATCTAAAATCAGAGTTCAGTGTTGACAGTAGGTGGCACTACGCATTGACTTCTTACTTCCTATATGTTCTGTTTGTTCTTACCAAGTAACCATAGTTGTATTTCAAAATGCAGAGAAATAAATCAGAACTCGAACGTATTTTGTAGGTGAGAGAGGCCACATGTGGCTTACTAAATATTTTAAATAATGACCAATCCC